ATTCAATCACGAACCAAAGCGCGCGTCTACATTTTGAGTTTATTCGTTTTAGAGTACATGAGAGAGGAAACGAGTAATCTTTTAAATAACAAGACACTTTTATTTAGAATGATAACTGTATCCACACAGGGGTTTCAGATAGTTACCAGCACCTTGTGAGCATAAATGTTTCCTAGTTTGCGCCCACAGCAGATAAGCACTGACACTGGCTCAACCACTTCACAGTATTATAGGAAGATCGCATTAAAGGAAACGATGAGATGTACCACTGTATTTTCCTTCAAGCACATGATCTTCAGGTACTCGTAGCTCAGTAACGCCTGCTCGCGCTGTTACTAACGCTATACACAGAAATACATTAGTTACCAAAATTCTCTGTATTGGAATTGCTGGGTCAATATTAAAAGACCCTGATAATATTGGGAGATAGAGAAATGTTGAACTTCTCCTAGGACCTATTGGAATAATCCATCATGCCCGAAACTAAAACATTCAATTAAAGTCAATTAAAACCTCGGTCACACTGCGGGCCGTGCTGGCAAAGGCAGAATTATGTTACACTGTGGGTCAATGTGGGTAGATTTTTCAACTGGAGGTCACTTTCAATATACTCTTGTTAAACAGATGTCATTTTAAGTGAGTAATTTGAATGAGAAATATCATCATAATATATTGTCCACTAATAATATGTGAAAGATAACATAAGAGTCTTTTTTTTTATATGTATTATAGTTGCATGATATTTGTTTAAATATGATATTGATAACAAAACATATGGGACATGCTCTTAACGGAATATACGTAGGGAGTTCTATTCCACTTTGATAATAATAGAAGGTTTTAATATTATACATCTATCTAATTGGTTGTTAATGTATTAGACCTCCATTATTATAGATGCTTTTTTGGTTATCCTTAACCCTGTTTCTTCTCAAGTGTTTTAGTATGTTATATATTCCTTATTTATTTCAAAAAAGGCAATCAAATGTTACAATTATTAAACTTCTCATTATTCGAGTGATTTCCTACTTTATGATTATATGTGGATTTACTTCCTTTCTTTTGATTTTAGCTCACTTATAATAAGTACTAAAACGTTAATATTATTAATTCGCAAAATTGCGAATTTATAATGTTAGATGTTCTAAAATAATGGAGCGGGGGAGGGGAGTTATTTCTGACTCCTGGCTCAAACATCTTAAAATACTTCGAGTGCTGCATTTTTTTCTTGCTGCCGCAGCTCAGTTCTCCTCGTCGATGTGTGCAACATTTTAGACATTTTTGATTTAACAAAAAGGTATATCGTATGGTATCTTACAATTTGGTAATAAACCCTCAAATAAATACACACCTCAAGGAAAAGACTCTGATTTAACATCTATGTCTTCTCATCCGTGTTTGCTGAGTCAAAGTACGTTCTGCATAATAAATCACATACATAAAACGTAACAACTAGGCTTGCGTGCAGCTGTTATAGCTGTAGGTGTACACCCGTCACTGCTGAGATTCCTTGACTGAAATGCTGCTGCAAACTCAGCGCTCGACAGGCGGAGAGAAGCAGAGATCTCGGTGTCAGACTTTGGGAACGATGCAGGCTGTGCCCACGCTGTGACCATCTTCCTCACACTTAAAAATCATATCTCAGTGCTCGGCAATATGCCTCCTATCAGAAGCTAATACACACAATCTCTTCTGGCGGTATGTTAGCCATACACGCTCCCGCACCAAGCCATGGCAACATATCACCCCCACCCTCATCCACCTACACTGGCTGCCGGTCGGACCCCCTCCATCCCTGCACCCCTTCTCGGAGTCTGCGGTCCTCCTCTCCATCCCCCGCTCTCGCCTCCGAACTGTTGGTGACAGGGCGTTCAGTGTTGCGGCCCCCACCCTCTGGAATGCACTTCCTGCCGAGATCCGTAATGCTGCTTCCCTGGACATCTTAAAAACACACCTGTTCACCCTGGCCTTCGGGCCCTAGCCCTTTCTTGGTCCCCCGGCTTCCTTTATTTTTTGTTTGCCCTTTGATTGTCTGTTTGTTTTGTTTGTCCACCATGTAGAGCGACCTTGGGTCCCTTGAAAGGCGCTATAAATATCATTTATTATTATTATATGTGACCCGATGTCCTCCTCTCTGTTGATACTATTTGTGGACACACTTAATGTGAAGGGGAACGGGGGAGTTGTGAGTGGGTGTGTGCTTGAATCTGCATTTAGTATGCACAAAAAGTGTCTGCATTTTAACCTTCACTTATTAATCACAGAATATTAAGCAGAATGGAAAGTGTGTCCAGAATATGTAGATTTATACATGCTATTGTTTTTTGGTCCTGGATATTAAAGCGATTAGTTGATTGTTTGATTGACAGAAAAAGGCTTTTATTCATATTTGAAGATATCACTTGAAAACATCGGCATTGTTTTTTACTATTTCTGACATTTAGTTTGCCAAATAAATTGTGAAAATAATCATCATAGTGGCAGCCCTAGTAGATGTTTTGTTTTTTAATTGAAGCTCTTAGAAGAGGTTTTTTTTAGAATAATCTGGAGCAAGGAGGACAAGACAACCTTACTAGTTATCTTGATTGTACCCACAGCTCCCAGCAGACACACACACACACACACACACACACACACACACCCACACACCCACACACACACACACACACACACACACACACACACACACACACACACACACACACACACACACACACACTCCTTTAAGTCTATCAGGTCAACCACCGGTGAGACATTGCTCTCTCATTCTTGTCGTGCTGCAAAATTTGGCCAATTCCCCTCGGTCTGGCAGATACAGTTTGCCCTATTTATTCCTCAACCCAAATATGACTCCAAACTATGGAGTGCAAAGGAGTGCATCCTTAATGACTCGTGTAATAAATGATTCAGACCCCGAGGCGGTGGAGAACAAGCGAGGAACAAGAGGAGGAAGAGAAGAAGAGGGAGAAAGGAAGGAACTGATGGCAGAGAGAGGGGGTTAAAGATTTCTGTTTAAAGGTTAAAGCGAAGATAGCAAAACAGAGTATGAGAAGAGGAGAGACTGGAGCAAAGGTGAAGAAGATGAGGAAGAGAGAAAAGAGGATATGGAGGCCAAGACAGATCAGACAGGAAGTAATGGAGAGCAGGACTGAGATGCAGGCTTTCAGGTTTAATGTGCAGAGACCCAACAGGAAAACAGAACAAGATACATTACATACAGTTTCTGAAAATGACCTAGTAAGCACCGACTAAAAAAGGCAGCTACACTCTCAGCATCAGTAAAGAGAGGAAATCAGGGGTTATTGTATGTAAAACACATGGTGCAGCAGAGAGCAGTAAATAAATCATGCTTTTTCTGCTCCCCTCAGAAGAACAACAGCACGCTACGTCGTCACGGGTTACCACGGCATCAAAAAGTAATGGCAATTAAAACATGCACATAACTGAAAGCTCCAACAGGAATGTCAGTGTAGATTTAGCACGGACAAAAAGATCCAACAAGATATGCAGTGAAACCTGTGACAGATTCTTCCTGAAGTATTTGGGGTGCTGCGTGCAGAGGACTTACAGAAGAGGCAGAAAAAGAGGACAATTACAAGCTCAACCCAGCGAAACGTGCACGTGGTTCTCCTGTATCGTCTCACAAGAAGAGACCTTGAGAGGAGACAGTGATGCTCCCGGGCTTTTAGGAAGCATTGGATAATGGAGGGGGGGGGGAGGAGGAGGTTTGTTTTCTGCGTGCATCCCGCTGAGCCGTCTCCAGATGTGAAGTTCAACAAACTCAATGTGACATCGGCTCTCTGTGTCTGCGCTCAAAAGCCTTAAGTCTGCAGTATATGGTCTGAACTCAAACTTTGGTGGGCAGAAAATTATGTAAACTACTTGTGAAATAATATTGAATACCACTCGAGATGTAATTATTGGTATATCAAGATCTTCAAGCTTCGTTCAGTTTAGTTAACGTGTTTGGGTTCAATATTATTCTACTTCCTTAATCATCAGATTCACATTGTAAACCATGTTTGAAGTATTTGTTTGTTGATATTGAATTATTTTTTGAGTATAAAGGTTTCTCAATTGAATTGCCTGAAAATGTTCAATGAATATATGTTAAATACTGTATATAACTTTTGTGGTATAAAATGCTCTCCTGAACCCATTGAATTTCCTTTCTTTATGAAGAGACTTTCTATAAAGACATCAACATAAAGAAACCTGACTGATGACAAATCAAATGGAACAACAAGCAGCAGTTGGTAGAAAAGTAGAAAACGATTTTAAAGTCAGAAAAACTAACCCAGTAATGTGTGTTAAACATTAATAAATATATCTATATGAAGTGTTCGTATCAAACTTGGTGTACAACCAGTCCTTATGTATTACTATTATTATTAGATTGAAATGAAAGCCACACTTTTTCTAAACTTTTTGCAGTTGAACTGAAGCTGTAAAGGAGGCTTGTCTTTTTAACACTTTCACTTCAGGTACTGTTCATAAATACAAAAGCAGTATTAATAGTTCATACAAGGCTTGACCACAACTTTACTGTATATTTAATGTTTCAGTTGTACTTTGTGGTGGTGTAACAGAAGTCTTTTAACATGAATTAAATATTTCTGAACAAGTGCAGCAGTAATTTTCTGACAGTTTTCCATCACATTGCACTCCTCAACGATTATTTTCAACTTCCCGGCTTACTCATCCTCCTGCATATCAGTGCCAACCTTACTAAACATTTCTCTGTTTCACATGCCTTCACTGTGTAATCTCTCCTCCACTCTTTGACTCCTGTAAAGGCCCAATCACTTATTTATGCTGATGGGTTTTCCCTGTATACAGGCTGATACGTCTTTTCCCACAGTCAGCTCTTACTGGATGTGGACCAGTGCAGCCACAGGCCCGAGTCACGGCCCCGCCAGCGCTACCTGTCCAACAGCCATGACATTAAAATGTGTTCTTGTAAGAGGCCTGCCCAGCAGTTAAGTTGAAACATCTTATTTGCACGCTTCCTTTTAACGAGATGAATTACCTCCGCTTTTTAAATGGACATTCAGCAGAAGCCAAACATTGGATTACAAACATTGGAGGCTGTCAAGGTTTCTCGATGTTGTAAAGAACAAAGCAAATACAGGTGTTGTGACTCCACTAATGTCTGTTTTAAAAGAGAACTATTGCAAATATGAAAATAAGTTGTGTAAAGCATTGTGTGGCATCAAATGGAGCTTTGCTTACAAACTTCCTCAAGTCATATCACTTTAGGAAGTGACAGGTGGGGAGAAAGTGTGAAGTGAGTTCTACATGTTTGAAAATAAAAAATGCTTGAGGCTAGCATTTTTAGCATGTAGCATGTACACTATGCTACATTAGCCGCTATTAGCATAACACAATACATTCAAGGACCAGACTGTCAACAACAACGTTGAATTATTGGTATTCTAGGCGGCATGTCTTGATAAAAAATGCAATATCTGTTTAGAGCAATGTTGGATTAAAGGAGTAAAAGCTACATTCAGAACATTCTGAGGGTAAAACTCATTAAGAGATTGTCTTTTCAAACGGTAAGTTATAGTGGAAGAACCGCTGAAGGGTAAATGTGTCATACTTGAAGGAAAAAGGCAAAAATATCAAAGGTCAGAGGTCAACATCTCACAAAAAAACATGAAAGGACCTGAAAAAAACGAATTTACTGCAAGCATGGCAGAAATACTCTTCACCACTGAGTATGTCAAATTCCAAGAAAGAAAAACGGAAATGGACGAATGGTTGAAATCAATAAATGCAAAGCGCTCTTTTTCAATGTAATACTTGTTATTGTTATTCTGTCTAACCTCATTCTGCAGGCTTGACCAGATCTCCCTAATAACAGGTAAATAAAAAGTCAAAAGAATCCCATGAAATGCAGTTAGTGGATCGATACACTTGGCTACGCACAACCACTCTAATTTGGGAAAGCTTTGGAAGTTTGCTGCTTCACGTAACAGTTGACTCTGCAGTCTCTACACAATCAGTCTATACTTTAAATCTAGCAGAGGAAGAAAAGAAAAAAAGCATGTTTCCTTCTCTGTTCCTGCAACGTCTCCTCAATTTTCCTGCTCTCACTAATGCACTCCTGTCATCAGGGGGTTGGATAGCATAGTGCAAGCTAACAACAATCCACAGTGACGGCAAACCTCTCTCTTAAAACCTTAATAACTCGGGCAGGGAGAAGTAAAACCAGCAGAGAGATTGATTATTTTTTAACACCGCCTACGCCTTCATACAGCAGGATAAAAGGAGGTACAGAAAAACACTTATGCTTTGTTCTTGGGAACAGTTTGTGAAAGGTTAAGGCCATATGGAGAACAGGCGACAAGCTAAAATATTGTTATTATAATGAAAATGGAGCTCACAAGGGAGCACATAACAATACCTTTGGAGGGCAACACATCACAACCTTTTTAGGAGTTTGCTCATGAATTATTCAAAACCAAGTCAGTGAACAATTGGGGCAGAGCCAAAGCTTCCTGAAAAATAAATAAATTACCACCCCTATACGTTCAATGAAGGGGCCGCCGCTTCAGAGGCTCACACTTTTCACCGTTCTCAAAACAGGCTCACAAACTAACCTCAGACCCCCCTGTGATCCCGTCCCACAAACACAAGTTGAGGGGCGTTATTGGAAAAGTGCTATATCTCTCTATCCCATCAGTCAAGGCAGGAGAACATGGACAAACACACACACACACACACACACACACACACACACACACACACACACACACACACACACACACACACACACACATCTCCTCCATCAGGACCCTGTTACCTTGCAGCTGCCTGAAGCGACCATCCAGGATGGAGTTGAAGCAGATGTTGGAGGTGCTGTAACTCAGCCGGCGCGCCCGCTTCATACTTTTAGCCGAGGAGGATGAGAAGAGGGCGGGGGGGTGGTGGGGGTGAGAGGCCCGCTGACGTCTGGGGGTGCAGGAAGAGGATGAGGAAGAGGACGAGGAGAAGGTGGGGGGTCCCGCTGGAGCCACGGGGAGCGGGACATGCAGGACTGTGCCGTTCCTCTCCAGTTTGTTGGGCTCGGGGTCCTGCTGCTTCCTGCTGATGCTGCTGCCCCCCCTGGAGGTCTTCCTGCTCTCAGCTCTCTGGGCCCGGTGGACCGGGGGGGTGCTCCTGCTCCGGCTGATGCTCATGCCGACCCGGACAGGGGGCTCCTTCTCCATTAGGGTGTAGGGCCGGCTGGCAGCCTCCTTAGTGCCCCCAGTGCTGCTGGTCCGGGGGGCGGGGGTCTCCCTGCTGCTGGCCTTCAGGCTGATGTTGACCTCTCTGAGCCGGGGTTGGCTTAAAGGGGTGGCGCGCAGCAGGCAGGGGCTGCTCATCTTGACCCCGAAACAACAACAACAACAGCGCCTGGAGCCGGTAGAGGAGCTTGGCACTCCACGTCTCTCCTCTTCTCTGTCTCTTGGCTCTCTGTCCTCCTTTCCAGATCTCTCTCGTGTTCACTCCCTCCCTCCCTCCCTCCTTCCTTCTTCTTTCTTTCTTCCTCACTCTCTCCTCACTGCTGCCGTGATGATGCCGTGCCTCCACTCGCAGACGGCACGGGGGCTCAGCCAGCTTTCGGTTTAGACTGGTTTCTCTAGCCCCATCCATGCATACGATATGTTTTCAATACGTCCACGTGCGAGCAAGACTCCCTCCCTCAGCCCAGCACTCCCACACAGTCGCTGCATCACTGAATGTGGAGTGTATCTCCTGAGCCAATAATCCAACATCAAACTGTCCACCTCTTAGGAACGCACCTTCTTTTACATGTATGTTAGGAGCAGTGTAAATGACCGGGTATTCGATACGTTACGTATGTGCTTTGCAAACTGAGTTCACAAGCTGTAAATCAGCAGCGGGAGTCATTCACAGCCTCTTTCATCTCCTGCCTCTCTCACGACTTCCCTCCCTTCTTCTACCACTCTCTCTTTCTCATTCTCTCTCTCTGACAGGAAACACTGATTGCATTACAGAAACATCAGTGCAGCAGCACTCAATATCACAAACACCCACACAGAAGCCTTCACCGCTTAAAGAGACAGAAAGAGACAGAACCAAAAGTGGTGAGAGCGCTTCCCGATAAACGCTCTGGACACAACTCTTAACATGTTGGCCACGCAGAAGATCGGCTGGAAATCAAAGCTCAATACTTTAATTCGTCTTCACAGACTTTAATGTCTGCGTAGAATCGTGTACTGGTATCAAATCAGACAGTCCTTGAACTTCCTGTAGAGTAAATGCTTAAATTGTATTGAGTCTTAAATTAATCGTATCTATGACCAGCAATTTTTTAGCAATAGTCATTTATTGTAATTGCAATCTGTAATTCCTATCTCATATAAATCAAGCACACTCACATAAAGGTATAAACCATTTACAGCGGGAAACGGCTCTTCTCTCTGGGGGAGAACTTCCCCCTCCTCCTTTGAAGAAATGAACACAGGAACAAAGAGAGTGGCACTTGGAGAGCGGAGACATAGCAAAACCCAAAGGTGCATTCGTGTTCCCCTTCAGATGGTCCCAGTTCTCGAAATGGGAAGTCCTTCTCCTGCTTTGATATGAAGTGTTTTGGATTTGGCGTCATCTAGCATTACTTAACTTAATACCCCTCTGCTCACCTCTGCCTTCACAAGAATGTGATGTATGGCTAAATTGTGTTACGCAGTGAGACAATGTCTGGCAGAGCAGCTGAGATGATGCAAATCTGCCTGAAAAAGTATAGTTTCTTCAGGAGTCCCAAGTGATTGACAGGAAACAATGCATTCACATGAACACAACGCTCCAGCTAATGTATACAGCGTTCATGTAAGTGGAAGACAACCTAATAAGAAACAAAGTTCAAGTACTACAGTGCCTTTGAGCAAAGACTAATTTCCTCTCCACAAAGGTCATTTTTTCTGCCCGGAGTGGTCAATACACTCTGGGACCTGATCTATTAAAACATGCAGAAGACCACAGGAACAATCTAATCAAACCGCTCTGAAATCTTGAAAGACAACGATTTGATCATGAAAAATGTTCCTTGTAAAGAAACAAATATTTCAAAACAACTTGTCAATGCAGTTTTTCATTTTCAAAAGAGTATGGGTAAATATCTACAACAGCTGGTCACTGTTGTGTCTTTACTGTGACACGTTTCCATGTTTTAATGTTCAAAAAGCTCTTTATTTTTCTCATACTGCCTGTACTGCAGCACCTCTTTTCACCCTCTGTCTGAAACCAGAATCTGATGCTCTGATTGGTTAGCTGGCCGGCTCTGTTGTGATTGGTCAACCACTTAAAGATGTCCCGCCCAACATTACATACTGTATGTTGGAACACAAGCCAATAAAAGTGCATGTGTTACGTAGTGATGTCACTCTGTTACTGAAGTAAACAAAGGAGTCCAATGGAGGCGTTTCAGGCATGGGGGGGGTGTGTGGGATTAAGCCTATACAGACCATTCACATGCACAAAAACCTAAATGGAAAACCCCAAAAAGCATAATAGGACGTCTGTAAGGATTTTTACTTAAAATAAAAAGTTTGCAAAATGTTACCTTTGTTATGCAACGTTCTTAAGCGGCTGCTTGTGTTGAGACATTAAGAGTATTTGCTAAATCCAAAACAGTGTTTGTAAAGTTAACATTTCCAAGTTAGGTATTAATAAAACGTTGTTTTTTGGTTTCAGAAGATACCTTAAGATTCCCAGTGTTACCCATAATTCCCTTCTCCACAGAGCTGAACTTGTGTTTCTCCACCTTGCTGCTGACCTCTCTTGTGTCTTTACGGAAACAACCACGGTGTGGCCCTCTGTTCTTCCCCCTTAGAAATGCTGCTATTTAAAAACCCCAAGACCCACAGCTGGAGACCCTGCTCACTAGCTTAGCCCCGAAATGCCAGAGATCTGTGCTATGGGAGGAAGATATGCAGGGCAGCTGTCCAACTCGCTCAGACGATGGCCATTCTGGGAATGTGCAAGGGATCACAGTTACTTGTGGAGGGTCAGGGCTCAGCTGCTGGAGGTTTGTGACACCACGAGTAACATGTACACACACAACAACCCTGCAGAATGTGAGAGCTTTGAAACAAAATCAAGGGTCACCTGAAGTGTGCATTTTTTTACCAAAACTAAGGTCAGTTACACATTCAAGCACGTTCAAACCCCCAATAGTTACACTGAATATAGCTCACCGTCTCTAAAAAGACACTTTCATCTCAAAAATGTGTCACCCAAATACCTGAGAAAGGACACAGCCTGTTTACTATGCACACACTCACCTGCGAGGGCCTTGATGCGCGAGCGCTCAAACAGCCGCGCTGAGCAGTTGTCATTGTCGATTTCCTCGTCGGTGATGTCGAAGCGGGTGTTGATGCGGCTGTACTGCTGCGAGATCTCCGCATTGTCAAAGTCTGTGGTGGAAGTCATGGCGGTGGCCAGCTTGGCGAGCGGCTGAGGGGACGGCCAGCGGTGTCCTCAGGTGTGCGGGGG